TATTGGGTGTATTGCTGGCTATATCTATGATTTTGGCAACATATCGTGTGCCGAAGGGTTCCCTGGAGTAAATTGCACTAACCGAATAACTTATTTAGTTTCTCACAGCAACCACTGACCTTGATATTCAGGAATCATCGACAAAAATGCATTTACTATCTGATTAACTTGTTCCAGTGCACTAAGACAGCAGCTCGTAGCTCCTGATGGGTTACAGAATGAGCTGAAAAAGTTCATTGGATCAAGATGGATAATTACCAACTTCTATTCAGTAACGTTTACTTGGCAAACAGGTAAATCCTTTGAGGGACAGCATACGCAGAAGTTCAGTCTCCTGTAACTTAGCTGATAACATATATACTGCAAACTTTTCTTTTCTGCAGTTTCTATCCGTCTTCAGCTCATCATATCAACCATCTCAGGGTCTTCGTCCGAGCCGTTTACTACCTTTTAGAATATAGTCTCATATCTCTCTGATCCAGAGACGGTACGTTCCTCTTGCAACTTGTTGTGTCCAGTGTCACTTTAATTTCTTCACTCCAGAAGCGGTGTCATACATTAGCATACAGTTATGCTAGATAGAGACGTCTAGACAGGTTCTGTATCAGTCTAAGTAGATATCTGACAGTTGCCAGTTTCAGTGCCAGATTAGTTCATCGGTTCTTTTCCTGATTCGTGATTTATGTTTTATGGCCTTTTTCACACTCTTACCAACTGTGTGACCTAGCACTGTGTTGCGTAGTTAGTCTTGACATGTGATCCGTACGTTGTGTCGAGTAGTTTATCACGCATGCACAAAATTTCAGACTTATGAATTACAAATCCAGCTATCCAAACGACAGGTTTTCATTCATTTCTTTAGAGTGTTATCCCCCCGAGCGCTAAGTTTCTTATCATCAGAACATTAGCTGACAAAAGTTTCTCTGTTAAGCCTTGTAGCATATGCATCATCACGTACACCATCGTAGCATATACACATGCATGTTTAGCAATCGCACAACTACACTACCGCTAACTGATAACGTTTTAAAACGGTGGCCATGAAGCCGTACAATGCTGCGTTTCTGTAGAGTACATCTTGGTCGTTGTTTGAGTAAATACGCATGAAGAAAATTTGCGTCCTTGGCAGTTACATAAATTGACGTCAGCACTACGAGCGCAAAAGAATTTATGAAACGGCGTTGGTACTTATGATGCCATGGCACTACTACTGCGTCTCTAACTGCTTAAAATTACGTCACTTGAACAACTGGCGTGTTACGTTTTTAGCTTTGTGCAGAAACCAGTACAGGGCTAGCGATTCCATCCGGTTAATTAATTTCATGGTTTCAGTTAAAGTAATTATTTCATTGATTAACTTTCACGTATGCATTTGGTTACCCTCTTTGGCGGCTCAGCAACTTCATTAGGAGCTAGTGACGTAGAGATACTTTCTTCCGGGTGCACATTTGAAGCATGCCATTTATTTTGGCACGTGTTGGTGTTCTGCGCTATGAGCCACTCTCTGTTAGGTGTTTCACGAGGTTCTT